TTTAGCGCGTTTTCCCAAGGCAACAAAATAAAAGAAACTCTTCGCGAATTTTATCCGGACCGACTCATTAATCTTACTGTAGTCTCAAGACTCGAGACTCTAAGCTGAACTGATTTCAAAATTCTTGTTTTTATATGTTTCGATCCCCCAAAAAATTTCGGGTCGTGTATATTCATAACCTGCCTTTTTTCTAAGAAATATAATAATTTGTCTAAAACCGTAAATGTCGCAATTTTCTGGATTAGCGGGGGTCAACAGATTTGAAAGAATGCGGAGGACACCTAATTCAAAGAAAAAGCGGCACTCGTGCCGGCCGTAAATCATGATTTTATTAAAATTCTGTCACTTTGGGACCCAATTTAATTACCTAACGTTGTATTTTAATATTTTTGTGTAACAATATGATGACACACGCTTGGTGAGTAACTAAAATCTGTTTTTTTTTTTTAAAGATAAAAGTCAAAATGACATTATGTTGGCAAAACAATGTAAAATTGTCAATCTTTGAATTTTTTTTATGTAGAAAAGGCTTGTGTTGCCAACATAGTTACTAAATTTTTGACTTAGGGAATTATCTTTAAAAAAAAACAGACTTTATTAAAATTTGAACGTATTTTAGATATTTCAGTTAATTTGTATCAATGCTAAATTAAGAAAATAATAACTTTTCTTCTAATATTGAATATTGGAGATTTAATTTACATTAGATTATTTAATTCAATTTACATTATTTGATTACATTTAAATTTACTGTTTTTGTATCAAGTCCTTGTAAATTACGGGTCTATTTTTCCCGGGTCACTACACAGCCGAAAAGTCTTCTTCAAACTTCGATACATTTTATCTTAAGCAGAAGTTTATTTAAGGAAAACAGTAACTATCATTGCTTTAGCAAAATCAATGTAAATGGCATCCATAGGGTTTGCGATGCTCATCGATTCTAGTCTGCGACTATCTTTCAAGGCATATCCAGAAGTTGGAAGCAAAGACGAAGTGGATTTTAAATAAAAGTTTAAAAAATCTCTTTTGCACACATTTACAAACAATAGATGTATGTATGGCCAATATATCGATACTAATATATTGGATTGCAGTTTATCGTCTTTTTATTGAACTGGTATGACAAAAGTGCTTTTCAATTATCGTGAAGTTTTCCTTGTTCAAGTTAGTGTGATTAAAGGATCTATTTTAGTTATTGATTTTTAAAGAGAACTGCAGGAACTTCGTCTGGTAAACTGAACTCTGGACTACAGCAGTTGAATTGCCAAACCGCCTAAGGAGTTTTGATTGGTGAAATTTACCTTTCAAATGCCGGGCATTGATCTTGACATAGGGACATGCCGTCATTTTTCTCTGATCCTCTAAGTACAACAAAAGTATTTTGGAAATAACTTGCAAATTCCTAACAGTAAATTAGGATGGATTCCTGTCTAGTAGTTACCCTGTCAATGTTATATCGTTATCGAGATAAATGGAGATTGGAATTGAAGATATGTTAAAATGTGTTTCTACACTGAGAGAATTAATTTTAGACCATTATAAAAATCTTAATAACCTTAATAAAGATATCGTATAAAATGGGGGACAGAAAAGCGCTGTAGTTACCATTATAAAAGTCACTTTACCCACATAGCACAAAATATTTTTGGGATATTTTTTGAACAACGCTATCCATCATCCATGGCGTCTCTTATTATGTTTTTGGTTCATAGATTTTTTGATACAATAATTGACTTCTGCAGGAACATGAGATAGGTATTTTGGATTTTCTCAATTATACAAAGAGTGTAAAAAAAAAGATAGAAGAAAAAAGGAAGCCTTTGATCAATCCTCGTTGGAACACCCTGTATCTATAAAAATGATATTCATAAATTATAGTCATACAAATTACTTCTTATTGCAGGAAGAAGAAAGGAGCTGTGGAAGAGCAGGCGCAGCTCGAAGGGCAATGAGCTATAACCAGGCAGGTGCTGCTTAACTGAGGGGAAATAACTTGGATCAGAAGCATATGCACAAATAAAAATATTTCTGAGTCTGATTCTGAGTTTTAATTACCTAATAGGTACCTACCCATAAAAATTACCATCGTAAATGTTGGAATAATGTTTTTAAAATATTTTAATAATGTTTTTTAAATATCGTTTTGATGTTCACAAAACCAATATAGTTTTTTCAATGTGTGGAAAATATTTTATTTACATTTTTTTTTTAAATGTTCCACAAAATATCCAAAAGACGTTTTAAAAATATATTTGGATATTTTAAAAATGTTTTTAAAACATTCTCAAAAATATCATACAGATATTAGAAACATTTTTAATACATCGTTTCTGAATCCGCATTATTTTTTTTTTCGATGATGATGTTCAAAAAACATTTTCATACTTTCTAAAAATATTCCTAATACATTTGAAAAATATCGCATGGATGTTCAAAAAATATCGCTTCGTTACCGCAGAATGTTCAAAAAAATGTCCTAAAAATATGTTTTATGGATATTTGGATGTTTTAAAAATATATTTGATCCGAAAAAAAATATTTTTTGAAGCTTCAAAAAATATTATTTGGCTATATGGGTATAAACTACTACTTTGCTACCATTGATAGACCAATTTACTGAAATCGCCTAAAGACCATTAAAAATTTATAAACGAGTCACAATAAAATAGTTTTGAATGGCTAAAAAACGGTTTTTTAACTGTCAATAAATATTTGATGATGGTTATTAAACTGTATATTAACCCTTAATATATCTTATAAGGGATAATATAAACATTTTCATAATAACAGATGCATATCTTTATACCATTAATTTTTTTTTTTGACCACCAAAAATTCCTTTTATAACCATAACAAGATAACCTTATAAGGCCCAGTTATACAATCTTGGTTAAAAACAGAGTTCAGCTGAACTCGACTGGTACTTGAACTTCTCCATTTAAAATACATTGCTGTCAGCTATTAATCAAATTTTAGCTATTTTTGACAGCAATGCATTTCAAATGGGGAAGTTCAAGTACCAGTCGAGTTCAGCTGAACTCTGTTTTGAACCAAGATTGTACAACTGGGCCTAAGGGTTATTGAAAATGTTATGGTACTATTATATTGCATTTGGGAAGAGGTAAAAATAAAAGACAATGGGTATTTTTAAATCAAACTTTTATTAATTGTCGATACCTAGATATTATTATGGTGATATTAAAAAAGTAAAAGCTGCATCTACAGTAATCACATAAACTAACAAAATCTCGAATCGTATATGTATACCTACATAACTACTTAAGTATATAGTAATATAAAAAATACCACTTGGAAAAAGCAAAAGCAGGTAATAAAAGAGTTTTCATTTTTAATTTATATTTTCTCAAAAAGGACTCTTGTTTTACAAAAAAAAAGAATGCAGAAAATGCTAGCTTCAGTTGCTTTGTGCAATAATTATTACAATTCTGAAAATTAATGAAAGCATTGAGGGGGTTATATTTATACCTACTCATAGCTCACCTTCGATAAATGACTGTAAGCCCCACTCTAGAAGGGCAACTTTACACGCCATTGTCAGACCAGTGCCAGTGCAAATCCAAAATCCAAGGTTAGATAATTCAAAATAATTTAAATAATTCACCAACGGCACCAACGCAACGCACTAACTAATCAACGCTTACAGCAAAAAATGGCGCGACACGACACAAACACCTGATCACAAATGAGCAGGCTCATGCTACATGCTTGCACGGAAGCAATAATTGGAATGCACAGAAAAATTACAAAATAAACCATTATGGCCGCTTCGGGTTGTTTCGCGAATAGCCGAAGCCAATAACGGCCCGCTTAAGTTTATTATGGCTATAACGCACATTTTAAAGACTGAAAATCAACTAATAGTTGTTGAAAAACGTATATCGATGGTTATGAAAATCAATTTTAAAGATCGTGTGTAGTAACCATATTAAAGTATCTAGCTACTGTAGTAAATTCGTATGAAGAAATTTGAATACAACACATCAGTAAATTAAATTTTTAACAAGAGTAAAGTATTTTATAGGAGCTCATAGATAACTATAGGTGATAATGAGGATAATTCAACAAAGAATTTTTAGCAACCATAAAAATACGTTATTCAGTTATATATAGATAATTTATGGCAGTTATTAGAGATATTTTGTCTGCAATAAAGAAAATTCCAGTAAGATAATTTAAGAATTCAATTTCCTCAGTGTATACTGCTTTTTCTGCTGTTCCTTAATGTATTTGTTACTTGATTTCGAGAGCGATGATAAGCTGCATAATCCCTTTCTGTTCTGGTATTTTCAAATTTATACCAAATATTCCTTTTTTGATTCATTTTATGAAAAACAGCTTGAAAAAGAAAAAGGTGTTGTTCACTACAGAGTGAACAACACGCTGGATCAGATACATATTTGATCCATGTTGGAGTGAAAGTTTGGATAGCTGTTTTGGAACTGTGGGCATAAGCCAATGATTATTTCTTGATTCTAATCTATTTCCTAATTATTCGCAAAAATTGCGATATTTATCTTTTAATCGATTCAAGGCAATTTATGAACCCAAGAAGAAGCTCAACTATTGTTTGTTATTTATTTTGACTTTTTAAAATATGCAATCATAGTCTCCACTTTATGGAATAGTATCAAGGTATTGGTAAAGACTCTTCCTGGCACTCATAGATTTTTACTTTCACAAATAGGTATTCTATGAGCACACAACGCCGCTATTTCTATTTTAAATTTCTTCACAAAAAAAATTAAAATATTTCTGCCGTTAAATCATATCCAGAATGCTTGTTAGACTTGTTTTGCAAAATCCATCATATCCAGCCAATTCTAAGAGTAAAAAATGAGGATGCCTATTTATTGAATAGAAAAAAACTCGAGGTCTTTTTTCCTACTATATATTTGACTTCATATTTCATTAAGAAAGGTGAAAATTTGGTAGTCAAAAACCAGCAAAGGCAAGCTACAATATCTTTTTTAAATTTTCAGCATGCAATACGGCTACGGCACTGGTGACCTATCAGAAGACGAAGTGTCAGACCTTCCCAGCTGCGCTTTCGCATCCAGATCTACAAATTCAAATATCCAACATCACTATTTGACTTCTCTACACCACAATACAGGTATGACCTCTCTATAGGCATCATTTCAATAATAAATATTTAATTAATTTATTTTCTGTAGATTCTGGACCATGCGGATCTACAGCCCCAAGCCTAAGCTCCACAGACTTCTACGGTTCGTCGCCCTACAGAGTTCAAAGGCACGCGGCTAATATAAGAGAGAGGAAACGCATGCTGAGGTCTGCTATTGGACCCACCGGGTACTCTTCTGTCTTGCTCGATTTTTCCCACACTTTGATCTAGTTTAGAATTTTTTTGCCATTTATTTCTTTTTTATGTAAGTTATTTTGTTGGGTTTTTTTATGATTTTTGCATGACAACTTTCGGTGTAATTGCGCTCACAGAATGAAGTAGATTTATGTCCAATCTTTGGCCAAGGAAATGACATTTTTTTTGTAGCCTGGGCCTTGCCCATTTCGGCAAACGATAACTTCCAATTAAACATTTCGCAGATTATGCTGATGGAAATTGTATGACAGTAGGAAAGAAACGTCTTTTAAGCTGGGTTGTAGTGAGAGCTGATTTTAATAGGAAGTTGAGTTTACCAAAAGCTAAGAGACTAATCTTATATGCGGCGGTAAATTCTATGCCTTTCCTTCTTATATAGAAATTTAGGACCTAGATATTTGCAGGCTTTATTCAATGGTTGTTTCTACTATACATACAACATCACTGAGAGCAAAACTTGTTATTATTGGGGTTCTTTGAGATGTGTTTGTATCTTTACTCCAAGTTCTAGGGAGAAATATATTCTTGCTCATTTACTAATAACCTAGTAGTGGAATAAAATCACTGCTCTAACTCGCTGTTTTCTGAGGGTGGGTGATTCCGAGGTCTAACCAGATGAAACCTATATCAACTTGTAGAGGACACTTTGGGGCATAGGAAATGGGAATGTACAACTTTTTTTAATAGGACTGAACTTTGAAATCGGCCCTTAAACGTGACTGAGCTCGAATTTGAAAAACTACATTTTTCTAAACATTACCCGCTGTATTAATTTAAGCATACAATATAAAATTTTGATTTTTTGCACACTTATACTTGAAACATGAGCGCTTCTAATGACAGTTCAGAAATTTCGAAAAGGTTCAAGGTTTTTTTGTTAAAAAGTTAGGAATATAGAATTATCAAAATCGTGCATCTAAAACTTCACCCTGCGGCGAGCGATGTGAATTATTGAAAATTTCTATACATATATATCGAATCGAATGTAGTAAAAACATTGACGAAGTTTTGAAAAAAAAAATTAAGGCGCTAACTTTTACGGTTATAGAAATATAAATTTTTATCCAAGAGCCCTGGAGTGCGCTCAGCCCATCGTGAACCGCGTCGCGACGGAATTGTTCGTGCATTCACCGAGAGGTGCATTTTCTGACTTTTCCAGTTTTGTGCGTTCGTATGCGCAAAACAGCTCAAGTCTGATTAAGTATCAGAGTTTGAACCATATTCAACAGTTGCCTCTCCTCGAACTGATCTTAAAGTGGGTGTGACCAAAAAAAGCAACTTAAGCTACTTAAATCAAGAAAAAAAATCTAAGATCTCTCGTGAAAACCGCAGTCTTTTATTCAAAATACTATCCGAGAAAATTCTACATGAAGATAAATTTTGCGGGAACTTGTGACGTCACACCGGCTAACTGCCGAAATCATAGCCTTCTGTTTGTTCAGTGGTTGAACCGTGCCCTATACTTTTAAGTGGTTGCAATTTGCTTTAAGTGAGATTGTTGACTTGTGTCTTGGAAAATTTTATACATATTTTAACTGTGCCTCCGAAGCCGGTGTGACGTCAGAGCCTAGGCGTTTGCCACTTTAAACCACCCTTACTCGAAAACGGTTCATTGTAGCAAGATATGCGGTTCAAATATTTGTTCTTAGATTTGTTCGCACTAAAACTTCATTTTTGGGTCACACCCCCTTCAATTCACTTATAATAGATGGCATGGTACTTATTCAAGGACTAAGTAATAAACCATTCTCAACCTAACTTTTAATGAACTCGCATCTATTTTTCTTTCTGAAGCAAATTCTTTTACTTGGTCGAAGGTATGAAGCACTGAGGATAACGGTGGTTTTTAATAGATGAATCGGTCAAGTCTTTGGAAAGACGCAGAAGAAGTAATTTCGCAGATGCTTATGCATATGAAGTTTCTGGAAAAAGAAAAATGATGAAGTTTCGAATTTTTTTAAAATTGTCAGAAAATAAAGAATCCCTATGGTTATATTTTGGAACATTTAACTGACAAATAAAAGAAACTCTGATCATCGCTGGTGGTTTTGAAAATCCAGAGTTATGCTTTTCTGTCAACAAGGATTGTGTAACCGTGTAACCGGATTGAAAGATTTGAAATCGAATCATGATGAGGCTGATGCACGACTTATCATCCACGTCTTATATGAATATCAGATACTTCACCAAAAAAAAAGTGTTGGTGAAGTCTGTAGATACAAATGTTCTGGTATTACTTATTAACCACTATTCTGAATTTAATGCATTAAGTTCTTTGGAAGAAACCTACCTTTCTATGGAATTAGGATAAGGGAATGAAAAACGGATCATTCCAATAAATAGTGCAGAAACTGGAAAATGAAGTTTGTAAATGTTTACCAGCGTTGCATGTGTCAACAGGATGCGATACCACAAATGCAATGTTTAACATTGGCAAAAAATGTATTTTCTTAAAATCTTGGAGCCTTCAATGAGTTATCGAAACTGAACTCTGTGTCTGCAAGCGAAGCTGTTTATATTGCCACCAAATTTGCATTGGCCCTATTCAGAAATAAGAACGAGGCTATATAAAAACCCTCGATGAATTGAGGTATCAATTGACTACAACTTCCAATAAGTCCGCTTCAGAACTTCCACCTACAGATAATGCATTTTACCAGCATGTACTGAGCTAGGTGTACTTATATGAAAAAAGAAGCTGTATTTATGCGATAACCAAAATTTCAGGTGCATATTATATCAACTGCGTATATGGATGTAAAGCCATATACCTATCATGCCTATACTTGACCCTGTTAACTTTGGTTGGACTAGGAATAATGGAATGCTTGAGCCTGTTTTGATGACTGCTGACCCCATACCAACGGATATAAGGCAACTAATGAATATCTTCTGCGAAGATAAATTATGTCAAAATAATAAATGCGTCTGCTTGAAAGAGGTTTAACATGCTGCAGCGATTGTTTCTGCAAAAGTCAAAATAATGTTCCTGATTTATATAAGAATGACGAAGAAGAGAATATTTAAACTTCATAAAAAACGATTCAATCACTTACTTTATGTTTATAGATTTTTTAATTTTATTTCTAGATGTAACGCTAACGCACTAACGCAGATGATTTCCAGAATGGTAGCCGCTAGTCGCTTTCAGGATCAGAGCGCATTTTAAAGCTCCCGGATAAAAAATTATATTTCTATAACCGTAAAAGTTAGCGACCTTTTTTTTTTAAAAAAAACTTCGTCAATGTTTTTACTACATTTGATTCGATATATATGTATAGAAATTTTCAGTAATTCACATCGCTCGCCGCAGGGTGAAGTTTTAGATGCACAATTTTGATAATTCTATATTCCTAACTTTTTAACAAAAAAACCTTGAACCTTTTCGAAATTTCTGAACTGTCATTAGAAGCGCTCATGTTTCAAGTATAAGTGTGCAAAAAATCAGAATTTTAGATTGTATTCTTAAATTAATACAGCGGGTAATGTTTAGAAAAACATAGTTTTTCAAATTCGAGCTCAGTCACGTTTAAGGGCCGATTTTAAAGTTCAGTCCTATTAAAAAAAAGTTGTACCATCGTCACCAAAAGTATCTGGGACAAAAATAATTCATATTAATCTCCTGGACTAAGTCTACTGTCATTCATTTCAATGCATTTAATTCATAATTTGACAAATATTTGACACTAAAAATCATATAATAGTACAAGAGCTAACATGATGCTGTCCCAGTTACTTTTGGTGACGATGGTACATTCCCATTTCCTATGCCCCAAAGTGTCCTCTACAAGATGGTATAGGTTTCATCTGGTTATACCTCGGAATCACTCAAAGTCATAATTTCACTGTGATTTTACTCCACTATAGGTTACTCTATACATTATTAGGACAATATTGTCGGCAAATCTCAGATCCATTTTCCATTCACATGTATTCCCTCAATGATAATATGAGCAAGTGCCACTTACGTACACGTAAGTGGCACACATACTCAGTTTCCACAGTACCTAAATCAACCTACACAAATGAAAGAATAAAAGTTACTTTTGGCAACCAGATCGCAAAATCTGTATTTTCTTCTGGTAAAATTGACGATACTAGATTCTACTTTGATTTGTGAGCAATTTTGTTTTATACATAGTAGTTATGTTTACCCTAAATTATTATTTCGAATTCAATGTAGTTTATCTAAAAATAAATGATTATAATCATTGAACGTTATTCACTGACAATTCTGGGGATTACAGCAGCATAAACTCCGCTTTCGACGAGTTGAGAATGCATGTGCCCACGTTTCCCTACGAAAAGAGGCTGTCAAAAATCGATACTCTGAGGCTGGCGATTGCTTACATAGCTCTTTTGAGGGAAGTTTTGACTGCAGACTGTGATCCACTCACTTATGTGGAACGATGTTTGAGGGGCGAAATTAAGGCTGACAGAGCTAATTGGAATACTAGTGGTAAGAATTTTTAGAGAAAATAAGTTATCCAGAATGCTCATATTTTCACTTTGTGCTTTATACATCTGTCACACTGGTACCACAAGATTAAGAATAGGTAATTCAGTTTAAACCGAACCAGTTAGTGAATCTCTGATGGCAATATGTATATTATCAATTTAAATATTTGCGAGTTGCCAGTGTTCATTTTGTCTACGTATAAAATGATCATTTACCAAGTTTAGGCTTCCGTTAAACTGTTTTAACCTCTAAATCGTTTTCGAACTTAGAACGTTTTATCCTGTGTTTATACTTCTATAGGGCTTTCTCCAAAACAGTTTTCAAATGTCATAACAAGCAGTGCTGGCACTTCCTTGAAACGGTTTGAGATGTTTACGCAGTATTTAAACCGTTTTCAAATCGGTTCAAACGCATTTTTAAAACGTTTTAAATCAAAACGGTTTAACGAGATAAAACGGTTTATGGGGTGTTTATACAAGCGTTTCATAGTGAAAAGTTTTCTGTTAAAACGGTTTAACGGCTGGCATAAACATGGCAATTGTGTGAGCGAAGTGTCACTTTTTTTGTAACTCAATATGCCATTTTGTTGGGTATTTATTTATACAGAAAGTGAGACAGACTACTGTATTTATTTATGCATACTTTTTTTTCAGATTTAACAGCCAGATTGTCCTGGATAAACTGGGAAAATTTGGGAGTGACACCTGGAAGAAGAAGCGCTCTAACGTCACTGGCTCTAAGTACTCCAGAAAATATGAACCATGCAAATCCATAAAATAAATTTTCATTTTTAAATTTTTGTTCCTATTTTTTTGTATATATTATTCAAGTGCAATACTAGATTGTTATTTTTGTTTTTAAAATAAAACTGCATTTATCATGAAAGTAGTTTTTTTTATAAAAGCTTGCTGCAAAGGAGTGTGAGATTAATTTGATATTTTTATATCTACAGAAGCAATATTATATATAATATCAGCAGTGACTATAAAAAGGCAGAAACTTCAATCAAAGCACAAATATTTAATTAGGTATTTTTATTAATAAGCTCAGTGTATTTTTCAAAACGAAATAATAAATCCTATATACACATATCATAAGTTAACCTAAATAACATAGCAGGCATTTTTTAGCCCAAAAAACAATATAGTGGTGGACCTACTCCTTACCAAACTGCAACAGATTTAATGCTTTTTGTAAATTTTCCACTGCAGTCTTCACGTCATCGTAGTTTAAAGCACTTGTGGCATATTTACTGTATTTCTGGGCTTTTTGTATTTGTTCTGGAGTTAAAGAAATCTGAGTTCCGCTCGGAGTGTTGTAGTTTGCCATTGGTGGCAAACTGTAAGCGGTCGGTTGTGGCTGTGGTGGCAAATTGTAAGGCGTTGGCTGAGGATTTGGTGCCACTGGTGTAACTGTGCCTGGTTGGACTGGAATACTTGGACTTGCCTGAAAATTCACAGATCCTAAATAAAAATATCCTTTTTTTTTTTTGAAAAAAGTTAGGGCATAAGGACGAGCTAAAATTTATTAGATGAGCATTATGTAATAAATCAAGATAGCGGAGGCTAAATCTGAAAGTAAATTTTAACTTGAAGCAGTTCCACATCTGGAAAGCTTAATGCTAATTACTTTATTGATTTATCTATTCTTGCAAGTATCGATAGATTATGGCTTATTACAGATACGGTCTTAAATTACTTATTAACCAAGTATCTTGACCTCAGTCACCCTCAGTTATGGTGAACAATTTCACTAGCATATGAATTGGGAGATTTTGTTTTTGATATTTTCAATTTTCAATCCGTACAAATTTCAAAACCAATTTGAGCCATTAGAGGTAGTATTCTAGAAAACTTTGCCTTAACAGGGACTTATAAAAGTATTGGTACCCCATCGAAAATATCTGGAAAAAGCTTACTTTTGTTGAGATTTTTGTTTTTTCAACACTTGATCTCCGACCGATTTCTGGAATAAAAAATGGAGGAAATCTAGAAACTTTTTTGTTTCCTTCCAAAATCCCAAGAAATGAATTAAAAATCCCAACGAGTCTGTTTTTTTTATGGAGAAATACGTTTTAAATTTAAATTTTACACCCTATTAGTTTGTTATACCCTCGGTTATACCATAATTTATATTATGATAATACATATTAGAATACTTTGCAGTCCAGTAAAAGCCAAATTGTTTTGATGTGGATGCCATTGGTTTAAATTCGTGGCTAGAAATCATTGCTAAACTCACTCACATGAAAAAAAAAAAAAAATGAAATGCATAGTTGTGACCAAACTGAATTATTTCTAAAACTTTGACAGAGGAGAGACGAAATTAATGGGTTCATTTCTAATCTGACTCATTGGGTTGATCTTATACCTATACTGGAATTATTTTGGACAGCTTGGTACCTCATGAGGAACAGAAGAAGTGCCCATTAGTTCTATTACTCTTCACTTTGTGACTGTATGTGACCCAAAAGACATCCATCATTAATTCTAAGTGGAATATTGGTATTGTTTTTCTAGATAATACTATTAAGTATAGGCAGGAGCATGAAGACCAAATATATTGGCCTGATTGTTAATGAACAGCTCAGGTTTGACAAACACTGAGCATTTATGTAAAAAAATATCATCAGCCTGCTTTGCTGTTAGAACTGTCAAGGCTGAGCTGGATGAATCGGTTGCTAGAAGGGTGTATTTTTCTTTGATCGAATCACATCTTAGTTATGGCATTTGCTTCTGGGGTTGTTGATCATTAACATTGTTCAACATATTTGTTCTCCAGAAGCGTGTTATAAGGTCAGTATGTGATCTTAGTCTACCGAACTCTTGCAGATCAATCTTTATAAGCAAACGTATTTTAGTCTTGCCTTGTATCTTGATTTTAGAAACTGTGAGTCTGATGCAGAAGAAGTACTCCTCTAATATTCAATATTCATGCTCCCTCCTTAGTCAATACCAGAAGTTCACATCTAATTGATCTACCAATTTCCACATCCTCACTTACTCAAAAATCTATTCACTATAAGAGTAAAAAAATGTTTAATCACCTACCTGATAGCATGAGAATACTCAATAAAGGAGAGTAGATATTTCAAGAAGCAAGTCAAAAAATTACTTTTGGCTTTGTGGAGGAATACTTATCACCTCCTCTGTCTAATGGTTAATAATTTTAAGTTTGATTTTAATTTTAATGTTGAGCAGTCTTTCGGATCTTGCTTCCTGGCTCTTAACCGTTTCCCTTACCATTGCTTGACTAGTGTAATATGTAAACATTTTATCCAGTTGTTTTTATTCTTGTTCTATTCTCTTTATTTTTATGTACCTATTTTATTGATGATTTTATTTTTAATTATATTGTATTGGAAGCTTTGTTATCAATATTTGTATCTTAAACAAGAAAGCATATTTTGATTTGAAATCAACTGCGATAATAGGCCATACTCTCAGTCTCATATACCTTTTATTGAGAATGTCAGATTAGGTAATCTGTCTGTGTCTTGACTTGAAATAGGGCCAAAAACTCGGACAAAAAAAAACTGACTTGGTTTTGAAAAATTTTGCAGGTATACAACAGTTTGTATACTGGCAGAGCAAGTTACAAATTTCTCATTAGATGTAGATTCACATTTTGAATGAAGTACAGCTTTCGCTTATCCTGGTGAGAACTATTAACAACCACAACCCTGCCATACCACATATATAAAATCGTCTTCATTCTACATAACCAAAGTTATATTGCATTTACTAGAGTCAGATTTTTTAGTGAATGATATCACAAGTTGTTACTTAAAATCTGGTTAAAGTGTGTAGTCGAGTGCGGAGTGCGTAGTAGAAGGTGAATTTATGATAATTATTTTCTGTCAAGAAAAAACGTATTCGGTTCTCTAATGAGACATTTTAAATGTGTCCACACTTGGATATAATTATAGGATAAGGACAAGATACCCAAGCATATATTCAGTTACTGAAAATATAGTTCCTTCATGAAGCCTGAGTTATTAGTTGCCAAAACTGCTAGTTTCAACAAAATATAAAAGGGATGTTGTCAAAGCTATAATTTTGAATGTTATCCTTGAGCAAAACCTGAGGCAAAAGCTTTCCAAGGCTGTCTCTGAAAAGGAGAAAATTCAACAACAAAATGTTCTCGAGCACTGAGGAGGCTCTCAAATAGAGCACCAAATATACAGTAGAAAATGTAGAAAAAATTCGTGACCCCAAATAGATTCAAAGAAGAAGGAAGTAGTCGGATAAGGACAAAAAATAAAAAGCTGATCAAATGCTCGCCGACGTTTCGCCTTTATTGTTTAAAGGCATCTTCAGGGCTAAAAAACAGGGAGTTTTGAATGCTGACATATAATAGTTATTTATGTATCAAGGGTACTAAGTAGATGATTATGCCCCGAGGGCGACAGTCTTACAAAGCCGAGGGCCTCTGGCCCGAGGGTTCGTAAGTTGCCCGAGGGTATATATCTATTAGTACCCGTGGTGCATACAAACTTTTATGTCATGCCTGCGCGGGCCATAATGTGTACTTTATGCCCGCGCGGGCCATAATGTGTACTTTATGCCCGCACGGGCATAAAGTAATGAATTATATAGATGGTATCTAAGGTATAAAAACACAATAATGTACTGGTATGACATAATGTAATTATTATACTTGCGATTTTGACAGTTTAATGCCATATATTATTCCCACAGAGAATAATGACGAGGGATTAATGGTCATTATTCCTGCTTGCACACCAATCACAAAAATATCAATATAAACAAACTTAAAAGTGTCAGTGTCAAACGCGTTGTGCTTGTGTATTTGTATTGAGATGGATGAACTACAAGCGTTTTTAAAACGGAAATTTCAAATAAATTAATTTGTCGTAAATAAAGTAGAGTATTTCTTATCCACTCATTCCTCGACTGGATAAGAAATAAAATGGCTTCATCAGGCGTTCCTCAGGGAAGTAACCTGGGACCTCTTTTATTTGCCATTTTCATAAACGATTTGCCAGATTGTATTAATTTCTCTGATAGTTTGTTGTTTGCAGATGACTTCAAAATGTTTAAAATAATTAAGAGTACTGAAGACTGTGTGGCTTTACAAGAAGACCTAAATTGTGTCTCAAAGTGGTTTAGCAAAAACAAGATGTTCCTAAATGTGAGTAAATGTCACGTTATAACTTTTACCAGAAGGATTAATCATATAAATTTTAATTATAACATAAATAATTTAAGTCTGGACAGAAAGTTTGAATGCAAAGACCTTGGAGTACATCTGCAATCAACGCTTAAGTTTAACACTCATTATCAGATTATTGTGAGTAAGGCATTCAGGGTTCTGGGCTTTATTATTAGAAAGTGTTTCCAATTAAAAACTGTCATTAGACTATACAATGCGCTGGTCAGACCTCATTTAGAGTATGCTTGTGTAATATGGGCACCGCAGGCAGAAGTTAACTGTGATATGATAGAAAAAGTCCAAAAAAGATTTTTAAGATATTTATTTATTAGGACACATAGTGTATATCCTTATATGATCTCTTATAGTTCAATGCTAAGTGAATTTAATATTACAAAATTGAGTACCAGGAGAAGTATGCAGTGTGTTATCTTTGTATGTCATATTTTAAATAGTGTCAAGTACAGGCACAGTTATTTAATTAATAGAATTGCATTCCATGTTCCTAAAATTGTGCTTAGAAATATTGAACAGAAGATATTTCAGGATAATGTATTAAGTTGCTCACCTCTAAACAATATGCTTCGCGAATGTAACAGATTGGTGAGGGAATTTGATATTGATTTATTTAATACAAATACCTTTGCCATAAGATCTTTTTTTTAATTCCAAAGTTTTACTAGTTTTTTTTTTAAATCTCTGTGATTGTTATTTTATATTTCTATATTTTATATTTTATGTGTAACTTAGTATAAGTCTAACTTTTTGTGAATCTTTTTAATTTAGCCATAGTGGATGTTGCACTCTTGTATTGTAAGTACCTGTTAAAGGTGTATGTGGGAGTATAAGAGGTAGCAAAATTAAAATGGAAATTCCGGGAAATTCGCAGGTCACAATATCAGACAAAAAGACGACCGAGACCTTGGGAGAATGAAAGAAGTAGAGGAAGACCCCAGATGAGGTATGCCACTGATCTCAAAAATAAATGGCTAAACAAAGAACGCTTCTAATGCTGCTAATTTACGAGGTAGAAATCTAAACGAAAACAACTGACTGGGACAGCTGTGAGCGTGCGCAGTAGATACATGTATTGTGCGTGCACAAAATCTGGCCAATGAAAATGAAGGAATTTCAAAATTTAGAACAGTTGTTCGAAAGATAAGACACTGCGCAGGCGTTAGGCTGTTCCGTTGCACAACTGTTCGTAGAATATTGACCCCAAATTTTCACACAAATTTTGCCAATCAAGCCGTATGAATTGTTTATCCATTTATTTTTCAGATCAGTGAGGTATGCTGATGACCTGAAGAAGCACGCTGGAACCAGGTGGATGAACATGGCAACAGACAGAGAAGAATGGAGAAGACTGGGGGAGGCCTATGTCCAAAGATGGACTGAAGAAGGCTGAATAGATAGATAGATAGATAGATAGAAAGTAGAGTATACTACTCGCAATAATGGCTATTATTCCCTCGGAATGTTACTTCCTCGCTGCTGACGCGGCTCAGTTCGTAAATATTCCTCAGGAATAATAGCTATTATTATTGACTCGTGGTATAATCTACTATTAAGTCACGGCTAACATGAAACACTAATCCCTCAACAAATTCCAATAGATGGCACTTAAGTTACAAGTATCAGTTTTAAAATAATTACCTGTGATATCTTTGAATTTATTAATGTATAGCATTTCTGATATATGTATATTTTTTTGCCAATTGACCTCTCTAGCTATTATGCTTGCATTATCAAAATCAAAAACATGACCAGTATTAAAATGATGCGCAGCCAATGCAGTCTTCTCACTTCTTTCTTGGATAAGAATACAACAATCATACTTATGTTGGTACAACCTCTTGGACAATTTCTGTTTTGTCTCGCCTATATAAATTTTATCACAATTTGAATAATTGGCCCTATATACCAAGCTAGACCTATCACCCAACAAGACTATCTCTTTTGTTCTAGTGAATAAATTATTCACAGTCTTTCTGTTATAACTAACAATCCTAATATTCTATGTATCACTTGATCCAGCTATCCTGGGAACGAAAAATATTGGGACACCATTCGCACTTTCACTAATATGGATTTGGTACTCTTGGAGTTGGTGACGTTCATTTTTGACTCGTTATTTTTCTTTTGAAAATATAATATATAAATTAATATTTGGAACAGCAATAGGTAACCTTGCCTCGCCTATTTTCTCAAATATTGCTATGAATGAGCTAATCTCGTTGCTTTTGCCACAATTGCCATTCGTAGTCCCTTTTTTGTCCCCATATGTGGATGATATACTGACTACGATGCTAAGATAATAATTTGAAATTCATTGAGAAAGAGAGGGATAACAGGCTACCTTTCCTGGATGTTTTGGTGATTAGAAAAACTAATAGACTAATAACTGATTGGTACCAAAAATAATCTGTGCCAAAAACTAATGATGCTATAATGATCAATTATAAGTGCTATAATGATCAATTATAAGTCTGACCACAGCATGACTCAAAAAATTGCTGTCATCAAATTAAGAGATTTGATAGAGTAATTAATTTGGCTGATCCTCAATTCCATAACTGAATTTCAAAAGAGTCTTAGATCTGTGTAGGTCCAATAACTATCCAGTTTCTCTAGTCAACACTATTTTATGTAGTACTCCTCCACCTGCTTTAAACAATGATAGTAATCTTGATCATAATGGTAATTTTTTTTTTTTTAATTTCCAGGATAGCTGGATAAAGTGATGGATTAGTAAAAACTTTAAAGATTCATGATACTATTAGGATTGGTAATTATAACAATATAAAGACTGTGAATAATTTATTTACTAGAACAAAAGACATAGTCTTGTTGGGCGATAAGTAGGGATGTACCAGAATTCCGGCGGTACCACTAAATCCGGCCGATCCGGCCTATAGCCCGGAACTACCGTTCCGGCCGGAATTTTCGAAAATTTTAAAATGAGTTAAATAATAAATTTATAAGCGGAAAGCTCGGCGGAAAGCAAGAAGAATACTAAGAACTTTATTAAAATTAAAGTTGTAAACCATAACAATATTTTTTTTTAAACATAAACATTAAATTCAGGTATGGAATTCAAAAAACTTCCATACTTTTGACATTTTTAAGTTAGCTGGATACACAGGAACACAAAACAACTGCAACTATACTGGACTGAAAATCGTTTAAGTTTTACGTGCACAAGCGTTTGAGTCAGATGTCTGTGGTCCCTATTCTAGAGACAGGGGAGAAACGTTCTCATGAGAACGAAGATTCTGTCTTCGTCGCCCATATCCATATTTCCATAACACTAACAAAGACAGAGCAATCGTTCTCATGAGAACGCTATTCCCCGGTTTTGAAAATAGACATCCAGATAGACTCGGGGATTCGTCAATCTACTTGAAGGAGCAGCCAAACTCAAACATAACCAAACTTCAGCCGCTTTCTTTTTTTCCATCGAGCTATTCTCCAATATAAGTAAGTCATCTTGATTTCCTATGTACTAGAAAGAGATAGACTGCTTATCTGTAGGTTCGCCGGTAAAAAAAGAATGCACCCTTTCAAATTATTATTAAATTGCAGAAAACTGTCGATCCGGCCGGAATTCCGGCGGTCCGGTCCAGTTAGGAGCCGGAATTCCCGTTCCGGCCGGATCGGCCAAATACCCGATCCAGTACACCCCTAGCGATAAGTCTAGCTTGGTGAATAGGGTCAATTGTTCTAATTGTAATAAAATTTATATAGGTGAGACAAACCAGAAATTGTCCAAGAAGTTGTACCTTGCTGTACCAACATAAGTATGATTGTTGTATTCTGAACCAAGAAAAAAGTGAGAAGACTCCCATTGGCTACGCATCATTTTAATACTGACTATGATATCACAGTTAATTTTAAAACCGATACTTGTAACTTAAGTGCTAAGTCTATTGGAATTTGTTGAGGGATTAGTGTTTCATGTTTGCCATGACTTAAAATTTTTTTTTGTTATTGTAAAAGTGTGTCACAGCTGGCCTACCTGAGTTGTTCTTTTTGTATTGTTGATGTTTTCAACTCTTTTGTTGTTTGTATGTTGTAACAACTCAGACTGTAAAATCCTACATCATACCTGTATGTTTTACAATCAGCCTAGAATATGTTTAGAATACAAGGTAAATTTTGTTTAATTTTATTGATTCAGCATTCAAAACACCCTAACAGCCCTGAAGATGCCTTTAAACAATAAAGACGAAACGTCGGCGAGTATTTAATCCTCGATTTGATTGGCTTTTTATTTTTTGTCCTTAACCAGCTACTCCCTTCTTCCTTGAATACAGCAGAAAGATAGTTTTCTTTGAGCCACCAACTCGCTGACAAGTATAAAATCGAGTATAAAATATACTTACAGGAGAAACTGGAGGAAATATTGGTGCATCATTAAAACCAGCAGTTCCAGGAGTAACATTACCAAAATTGCTCAACTTTTTCAAATCATCGTCTTCTTGCTGTCTGTTTTTTTCTCTTTCCTCCTGAAGGCGTTTCTCCTTTTCTTCCAGCAGCCTCATCTGTTCTTCTTCTGGCAATTCACTAATGTGAATCATCCCCTCGTCTCCTGTAGTCGGTGGACCAGGCACTGGCTTCTCGCCAAATTTCAAGCAATTGTGAATGTAGGCAGCCTTCCATTTGGCATATTTTTGTTTTTCGTGTAGGTCCTCGGACAAGCCAAATTGTTCTAGGACATCGAACAACATGCCTGCTGTGTAGAAGGTTTTCACAGTATTCCTGAAATCAAAGATTTTTTTATTGTCACAAAACATTTATGAGCAAATCAACTACTTATTGAATATCTCAGCTGCATCTTGTTTTTCAGCATGAGAAAACAAATTCAGAGCGTATTCCTCTATGATAGCTTGTCCAGCAGTTTCGTTGCAGATACCATCATTCCCACGGTTTTCAGATTTGGTTTTCTCTAGCCAGTTTAGGATTTCGCTTACTAAATTGGTGACTTCTGGAGACTTTTTGCCTGGTACTATTTTTAGAGCTAGATGACAGGCTGCCATACGAGCTAGAATATTTTTCGTTAGTATTAACATTGTATATTAATAAAGTTATAAATATTTGATTTTTGTTTACCCCAATATGCAACAACAATATTTCTACTGTCATGTTCTGCAGCTAATTTCATCAGGTGGGCCACTGGTTTTACTTGTGCTGGAACTGGCGAAAAGGACATCTTGAATATTAATAAATCAACAGGAGAAAACTTGATATTTTGGCGAGTATTTTGGTGATTTTACATGAAAAATCAAATTAATTACTGTGTGTGTGAGTTACTATTAAGGCTATTTTTGTGGAATGACGACAAACAAAACAAATGGTTAACAACAAAAAAATTGTTATGACTCTTCTGTCACTCTGTGACTCATTTCATGATTGTTGACAAATGACAAATATGACAGAAGACAAGTTTTTATTCCAATTTGTGAAGTGAAGTTAAATCAAAAGTTAAATAGCTAGCTTGTTACCAGTTAGCGTTTTCGATTTCCATTTGACGATTAGTGTGTAGACTGCTTTCGCTCGCATCTTTTTCTAAGCATTTAAGATATAAGTTTTGCGTTCGGTATTTTGCTCAAAGAGCCGAGTGTGCTGAGCGGAGTCGTAATCACGTGATCAGCGAGCGAACAGAGCAGTTGAACGCTGTTTCAGAGTACCAGAAATTTTAATAAACGAACGCGAGCTTGCACCGAGAACACTTTTCAAATAAATGAACGGTAAATTCAAGCTCGGAGAACTCAGATCAAAATAACGAACACACGGAACGATAAAAATACATTTCATTCGCACTACTGATTCTGCAGATAGAAATCGCTATTAGATAATTTCTTCAACGCCCATTTCTCGAGCCGACAGCAAGGATAATACACACTACTACTACAGGATAGCCTATCCTCATAAGGCCTGCGTGGAACAAATGTGAAGCTCCTCACCACGCCAAATCACCTGTTGTGACGTAGCAGCATGTCTTTTCTCGGCTTCTTGGCGTAGGCTGTTTGCATTACAGGTTATGCCTCATTCTCGCGCGAAATTAGCTCTTTTTGAGCTGGTGGTGGCATGTGGCATGTCTTGCGGAGAAATTGCTGGTAGACGCGAGTGAGACTGAAAAGGCGTGGTGCCAAAATAGGCCGGTTTCAACTGGTCTGTGGTCTGTGCTGTGGAGAACGTCTTTGCGGCTGCGTGGACGTCTACGACATATAGGAGCGGTCATCGCAAGGATAATACACACTACTACTACTAAGGATAGCCTATCCTCATTAGGTTTGTGTAGAACAATTCTGAAGCCTGAAGCCACCACGCCGAATCACCAGTTGTGACGTAGCAGCACATCGTTTTTCGCTACATTGATTAACATTCTTTAAACAAATATTTCACATCTCGTTTGCATCTTCATTTTCCTATTATGTTAATCAAAATTAAATAATTCTTTTCATCATAAATTTTAAATTCTAAACTACGACCGCTAGCGCAAACAGGTTCTCAATAGCCGCCATAGTGCAGAAAGAGATGCAATTCCCTCGTGTTTGTTGTCCTTCCCGGCACAAACCCTTGCGTAGAAACAATTAAGCAGCCACCGTTCGTGTGTTTGTTTGGTTCATTGCCAAAAACGAGGTCGAAAGGCAACCCTTAGTAGTGTGTATTATCCTTGAGTCGACAAGGCCTGCGCCTGACGTCACTATCATTAGCAGCAGTAGCTCATAGTGGTGACGTCACCCGCAGGCCTCGATGGGATGCTTGTTTTTTCGTCGATTTTTAAATGTAGAAGTGATTTCAACAAGAATATAACGTATGGGAATTCGTTTTTTTGACCTTTACTGTTTAAAGCTTAAACTCGGCTAATGCAATTTAGGCAATGAGTCGAGGTCTGCGGCTGAAATTGAAGACACTTTCAGTTTAGTAAGAAGGCAGTCCTTTGCCCTTGCCCATGGACCATGGCGTGGAAGTCATGTCATGCAGATCACGTAATCTTTACGAGATTTTTTGGGCATTTGAAAATCTTAGTTTTAGGACGTGTTCTATATCTCATACAGATCACGTCGTTTGCACGAGGTTTTTTTGGCATTTGAAAGGTCATATGGTGTTGCACCATTTCGACGTCATCAATGGTGTCGTTAGCTGTTTGCGCCCTCGGTCGTAGTTTGGAATATACATTTTTTATGTTATTTTGATAAACATAATAGGTAAAGAGAGGAAGATGCCAACGAGATAGATGAATCATAGCCTGTGGTGCACACACCCTCCGTCAAGGCGAGAAACGACACGCTGTCTATGTCATCACTGGTACTCTACAACACAGGCCTTATGATGAGAATAGGCTATTCTGTGTAAAGTCTGTTTCTTTTTCAAAGATAAAAGTCAAAATGACATTCTCTTGGCAATACAATGTAAAATTGGCAATGCTTTCGATTTTTTTAAATTCTGTTTTTTTTTTAAAGATAATTCCCCAAGTCAAAAATTTAGTAACTATGTTGGCAACACAAGCCTTTTCTACATGAAAAATTTGATAGCATTGACAATTTTACATTGTAGTGCCAACCTAATGTCAGTTTGACTTTTATCTTTTAAAAAAAAAACGCACTTATGTAAAAAAGGCTTGTGCTGCCAACATAAGTTACTAAATTTTTGACTTGGGGAATTATCTTTAAATAAAAAACGTACTTTAGTGTGTAATTTTTTACCGGTGTGAGGTTAGTTTGGGTTAGTTACGGCCATTTGCACCGCTATAACTTAAGGGATATTTATTCCAAGTAGAGCTTTGAATGTGACTCTTGAAGAAACAAAAGTCACATTCAAAGCTCTCGACTTAGATTAAATACCGTACCATTTTTTTTGTCTAGCCCACATGAAATTCATAGGGTACTATTTTAATACCTTTTCCAACCTCCATGCAACATCCTATTGGCTCAAACCCCATCGAAACACGAAAAACTACCCCCTTAACAAATAAAAGTGCATAAATATTCAGATTTTCGTATTTTTTTCTCCATGAAATTGATAGGAATGATAGGGTAGGTACTATTTTAACACCATTTCCAAACCTAGAAATGTCATGGCTAAACTCGATGTCCGAAATAGAAAAAAAAATATCTTAATCTGAAAATCAGATTATTTATACATTACTTACCTACATAAAGGGTAGTTTTTCATATTTCGACGGGGTTTTTGTAAATGGAATTTGGCATGGGTGTTGGAAACGGCGTTGAAATAGTACCCTATATAAAGTTCACGGCTAGACTCGATGTTCAGTGTTCAATTAAAAAAAAAAAAAGAAAACGAAAATCTTAATACTTATGCAGTTTTGAAAGGAAATGAAGTTTTGTCGGTTGTAACAACCGAAAAGTGTGGAAATTGAAAACGAAGAGAAAGTTAAGGAAAATTGGAAGATTAAAATTCTTGGTCTTGGGCTAAATGTGTGGGTCTATTAGAGGATTGAGAAGTTTGGTAATGAGCGGATAACCACGCAACTTCCTCTACCAACACCAAACACAAATCAAAAAAAAAGATCTGTAGGGTCGTGGTGGTTTAGTTGGTTAGAGCGTAGCACCGGCAATGCTGAAGACCAAGATAGTAGATAGTCAAAGCGGGTTTCACTACCAAAATCCGAACATAACCTCAATCTTTCATTCTTGACACGTGGTGGATGCGTCGTCGTTGACACGAAGGTGGATGCGCCGCCATGGCCCCATCTTGTCGACAGATGGCGCCATCGGACCTGCGCCCGCAGGGCTGCGCCCCCCAAAAAGGGGGCCCGCAGGGCTCCGCCCCCAAAAAGGGGCCCCCGGATTTTAATATGGGTACCAGAAAAAGGGGTGGGGGGGGGGGGGGGGGAAATGTTTTCCCGCCATCTTGTCAACCGTCACCTGTCAAACGTCATCTGTCAAACGTCATCTGTCCAACGTCACCTGTCAAACGTCATCTGTCAAACGTCATGATGTCATAGCGGGAGTTTTGAGTCGTTCCGGGTTCTGTGATGACGTCATAGCGACCTGGGTCACGTCCGTGGAGTCATTTAGAGTACATAGTGCAAAGTTTGATTCATGGTTCGGGTTCTGTGATGACGTCATAGCGACCTGGGTCACGTCCGTGGAGTCATTTAGAGTACATAGTGCAAAGTTTGATTCAGGGTTCAGGTTCTGTGATGACGTCATAGCGACCTGGGTCACGTTCGTGGCGCCATTTAGAGTACATAGTGCGAAGTTCGTTTCATGGTTCTGTGATGACGTCATAGCGACCTGGGTCACGTGGGTTACGTCAGTGCGGGTCCGTGACGCCATTTAGAGTACATAGTGCAAAGTTCGATTCATGGTTCGGGTTCTGTGATGACGTCATAGCGACCTGGGTCACGTCCGTGGCGCCATTTAGAGTACATGTGTCAAGTTCGATGTGCCTTATAACAGGATGCTGTGGTGGTGACGTAACTATGAGGGTCCAGCAGCTAGCTTCATGTTGTACCTGGTAGAGGGTGTTTGAACTTAAGGATGATACACACATACAGGATTGCTTATTGACCTCGTGTGCTACCATTTACGACGCCATAACTAAGTCATCAGCTGTTTAAACAACCTACGTCAAGGCGAGAAATAACATGCTGCCACTTCACAACTGGTGATTTAACGTTGGGGAGAGAGTGGATTTGTTCCACACAGGCCTTATGAGGATAGGCTATCCTGTAGTAGTAGTGTGTATTATCCTTGGTTGGAACCAACGTTTGATGGGAAAGGGGCCTCGTTTTTTTATTAAAAACATACATTTTTTAAGACAACGATTTCAAAAAGCGAATATTTTCCATCAATAAACTGCTTAATAATATGATCCAATCATTTTGGTGGAACGTCTTGGGAGAAACACTGCGTTACCGTCAAATTCAACGAGTATTTCAAATCCATAGCTAAAAATATACCACATCAATTGTATCGATTACCTAAGTATAAGGGATATTTACTTACTAGGTTAAAATAATAATTTCTGTGCAATAGTTTTATGATCTACCTTAATTTGTATAGTTTATTGGTTCCAATAAAGATTTGCAATTATTTTGAGGTCTGTATCGTAGAAAATATTGGGAACTTTCACTTTATACCAGGACTTATAATTTTCTCAGCGTTTTTGATCCTTTGTTATAAAAAGACAGGCCTTGTTGATTGATTTCAAATCCATATCTAAAATATTCCATAATTGTATCGATATCAGTAGGTATATAATATATTCACTTACTTGGTTAAAATGATAATTGTTGTGCAATAATTTTATTGTTGTTGACGAGTCTCAAACAAGACTGAAAGAGCTTAATTATTATAAAATCCGATTCAAACCTCGAATTAACAACATAACATACAAAAAACGCTGTCAAAATATTGGGAATTTCACTTT